CCCAGGGTCTGAACTACCCTGAGTCAATTATTCTGGCAGTAGCCACTAGGGCAGTTTCCACACCGGAAGATCAGTTACAAGGCCAAGTGCAAGTGAGACATACGTGTTTCAACAGAAAGTCTAAACTGAGTCATAGACCCAGCAAATTCATCCCTATGGGAGAAGGCGGCAGGGGGCGGGGTAGGGGTCTGGTTGAGGTTCCAGTGGTCATGGATAGGAAGTCAGCTGGGATTGGTGGGTGGTGGTGAGGCAGGTGAGAGGACTGTAGTACCAGACAAGTAAACCTCCTGCCACTGGGGATTTGGGTTAAAGAAATATAAGCAGTACCCCCAACAAGCTCGCTGCCATGCTAAAACTACAAGCAGCGGACATAGGCCTCTTTCTTTTTCCAAGAGGTGGTTTGATCTTGGGATAGGACAATGCCTGCATGTGTGGGTTAAGAAGTTTCAGAAATAAAGAGTAGAAGGAGTCCAAGGTGCAGATCGAGATAACCCTTTACTCCCTTTTCCGTTAGTAGCTGAGGGTCCTCGGAATCCAAGGGTAACCCAGAGAAGACAAACCCAGTTTGGTTCCTAGAATCTTAGAAGGTTGTGTTTTTACCTTTGATATTTGAGGAGGCAAGTTATGTACATCTCCAATGTGGCTCAAAGGGTATGGTCAAGGCTTACATAATTGTGTAAAGAATGATCACTTATATATATGAAGTGACAAACTCCAGCAGCGACAGGGCAGCTGTTAGCAGAGGAGCAAGCCTGTCAATGCTTCCTTGCCTCCAGTTTTGTCTTAAAGCTCTCATTTTATTTTCTTCTTCAGAAAATTCAGCTTTTGCCCATTAGCAAGAGTTTTTTATGGATGTAGACTTTTCTCAACACCCAAGGATATATTTTGGATCTTTCCCTATATCTGGCATCAACAAATCAGGTGAACATCAAAACTGTATAAACTTTACATCAGTCAGATAGAAGTATAGTGAAATGACATGTTTTAAGAAAGCTGAAAGTGTGAATTATCATTGGGTGACCCTCTTTAATAAGTAAAGGAATGCAAATGAATTTGTGGCTGTGAAATAGGGCCACTCCTTGAGAATAAGGAAATAGTAACTCAAAAAGGATTTACTTCAAACTCTTGCTTCTTAAACAGTGAGTCAATAATAGTTTCCCAATTCTAGTTCAAGTTCCTATGTCATCAACACATTGCTTCTCCTCCCAGTATAATTTCCTGATTTTATTTTTTTATTTCTGTGGCTACATAGTGGATTATATATTTATAGGGTACATGAGGTGTTTTGATACAGGCATGCAGTGTGAAATAAGCACATCATGTAAAATTGGGTATCCATCCCCTCAAGCATTTATCCTTTGTGTAACAAACAAGCCAATTATACTTTTTAAATTATGCTTAAATGTACAATTAAATTATTATTTATTATTATTGACTATAGTCGACCCTCTGGTGCTATCAGATACTAGGTCTTATTCATTCTTTCTAATTTTTTTTTTGTACCCATTAACCATCTTCCCAGTATAAATTCCTCCCGGCAGAAATTCTCTACCGATGAGGAAATTGGACATTGGATAAAGGAGGTTTGGAGATTTCCTTTCTAATCATTAGATATCTCACCCTACCCCCTCAGTAACCAGAATTTCAAAGATTAATTTTCCTGGTTGTATGGACCAAAACACAGCATTGCGTTTCAGAAGTGGCCACTAATGGCCAGTCTTCAAGGAAATCTCTTGATTCTAGTGGAAAGGGGTTGTAGAATTCTGGATTGGCCAATGGCTTATAGCCAGTCATGTGGCATATCTTCGGAGGCACCTGGACAGCATTGGGCCGTCTCTGCCAGATCACCACCCAGGACCCCCAGGGCCAGAGCATCCACCCCATGGCTGAAGGATGGCACCCTAGACCAGTCTGTGTGACTTGAAGTATAAAAGTGAACCCTGTCCAGGATGATGGCCAGGTCTTTATGAAAGAAGATTTCTAAAGCTTTAAGCCCAGGGCTAGGATGTGCAGTTCTGGTGAGCTCGTGGGAAACTCCAGGTGCCATTCAGCTCGGAGATCTACTGATGATCATGTGGGCCCAGTCACCAAGGAGCTATGCCCTAGAATCAGTGACCCATCTGGGAAGGCTTCTTAGTTCACATAAGTCACGGGAATTGGTGAGAGCCATCTGAGTCCCAAACCCAGGCTGTTTATCCAAGCCGAGGCAGAATAGGTGAGGATCAGTTGGCAAAAGATCAGGAAGCTTCCATGAGCAATAGAGGCTTTTCTTCTTTGTGCTCTTCTTTCTTTCTTTCAATAAACAACTAATGCTCGGGAGGGAAATTTATTTAAGGCTGATTGCCACCCAGTATCAGGGGATGCTGACAGAGAGGTGGACACGGTGGCCCTGAGAGCATAAGGCAGGGTTAGTGAGTCCTGTCTGTGTTGGTTAAAAGCAACAGGGAGAGACCAACCTGAGTTTGTTTGTTTTTTTGTTTTTTGAGATGGAGTTTCTCTCTTGTTGCCCAGGCTGGAGTGCAATAGTGCGATTTCAGCTCACTGCAACCTCAGCTTCCCAGGTTCAAGTGATTCTCCTGCCTCAGCCTCCTGAGTAGCTGGGATTACAGGCATGTGCCACTATGCCTGGCTAATTTTTGTATTTTTAGTAGAGACGGGGTTTTGCCATGTTGGCCAGGCTGATCTTGAACTCCTGACCTCGTGATCTGCCTGCCTCGGCCTCCCAAAGTGCTGGGATTACAGGCGTGAGTCACTGCGCCCACTGACCTGAGTCTTGAATGAAGAGTTGCTTGCCACTGTGGACAATAAGTATCCCAAGCAGGTGGAGTATGTATAAAGGCTGAGTGAGCAGAATAGACAAAGGGGTGCTTTTGACAGGAGGGGACCCTGGCACGCTCCTTCCAGATCCCTTCCCCATCTTCCCAGCTCCTCACCTCCCCTCTGCAGGCTGCGTGGTGCTGCACCAGGAAACCACTTGCTCTTCCCCAACTTCTGTGTTTTACACCAAGGATGATCTTGCTCCCCTTGTCTTCCTCACAAGTTTCTAACTGTCCTTGAAGAATGGGGTTAAAAACCACCCCCCTTCACAGCCTGCACTGGCACAGAGAGCCATTCCCTTTTCTTTTTTCCAAATGCACAGTCCTCAGCTGCAGTACTTTTCATGACAGGTTACATGTTAATTCTTCTGTCTTCCTCACTCAACTCAGTTCTTGAGGGGGAAGCACCATTTCTTAGCCATCTCTGCACCTTAGGCCGCTAGAATAGTGCTGTGTGATGTTATTTTTAATAGTTAATAAGAAATATCAAATCCCCAGTATAATCTTCCTGCCTCTGGTTATGCCAAATATCATCTCAAATTAGCCAAAGTGGGGTTCAAGATGAGCACACAAAAACATAATTCTAATGAATATCTCTTGTGTGAGGAGAAGAATCCAGGATTGAATCATTGCTTTTGACCCTTTTTACAGTACCCGTTATAAGATCCTAGAACAATCTGTGTTCTTCAAAAAAGAACAAAGGATAATATAATGAACACCCATGAGTTCTCCACATAAAATGAGCAAATGTTAACTTATTTTCACATTTTTTTAAAGAAATAAGACTGTGTATGTGAATATATTCACAGAAATTGTGTGCTGGTGGATTTATAATTTTTTTCTCTAACCGTGGAACAACTATCACTGTATCACATTCTCTAGAATTGAAGTTCTGGATTAATTTGAGGAAAGTGAGACATCCTTATGACACAGAGTATCTAATGGTATGGCCAGAACATACGGTACCACTTTTATTCAGGTCAGACAGATGTATTATTTCTGGATATGGGACAAAGAAAAATAAATTGTCCTCCTGGAAATGGAATATACCCAATCAGAATGAGAATTCTTGTGAATATCATTCCATAAAAAGGAAGGCAAAAAGTTCTCTTAAATCTCTATAAAATAGTTTGAAACAAAGGAAAAACAGCAACAAATAGCTCTCCGGATGTTAAAATTGTAAATGAGTGCATAGCAAATAAAAATAATCAGAAATCAGTGGAAAATGCAGTACAAAATGTCAGAGTAGAAAGAGCAAACTCTAACCTCAACAGTTATTAGAATGGCAAACAGAAATGTAGAGCTCGCCTGAAACTGATCCTTAAGTGAAAGGGAGGAGGCATCACAGCTACTAAAAAGAGTGGGTTCAAATAAAAAAAAACTAATTAGAGCCACTGCAGCAAACTGAATATGAGCACTATGGAAAATATAAGCTGATTGAAGCAGTAGAAAATGGTACCAGTGAAACAGAAGTCAAACTTGAGAAATAAAGAAGCCCCTTTCCAAATCTAAAATCCTGTGATTCCATATGTCCTAGAAAAGTTTCCCTCTTTTGTCACTAAGAGGATTCCTTTTTCGTATAACAAAAAGCTGTCATTCTTCTTTTATTAGTATGACTAAATTAGATTTCCTTAAATGTTCAACTATCACTACCTTCCTGAAATAAACTTCACTAATTAATTAATTATTATTCTTTTGGATTCCTGCTGGATTCATTTCATTAATAGGATTTGGAGATTTTGCATCTATATTTACAAATGAAGTTGGACCCTTTGGGGAAGGGATGTGTTTATCGTGTGCGCTAATTTCATTTAAATGGATTAGTTTTTCTTCCCTAATCAGAGAAATAATTTAATAGCACAAAAATAGCTGTTTCTCGAAGATGCGAAACTCACTTGTAAATCTCTTTGGGCCCAGTGTTTATTGTTGCTGTTGTTGTTTTTCAGGGTTTGAGTGTGTGAATTTGGGGTGGGACAGTGCGACGTAGAGTGAGGGGAGTTCTTTTACAACATTTTAAAGAACCCTAACAGCCTTTCAAATAATTTCCAAAGTTACAGAAGTTTCAAGTAACGAGTCCAGTTATTGGGGAGGTCAAATGTAAAATAACAGAATGTGAAGCTAAATAATACAAGGTAAAGACAAATAAACACCTGAGTCACGCAACGCCTGCTTTTGTTTTCCTAGATCAGGAAGTGTGCTGCACCACTGGAACGAAATCTATTACTTTGTGGAACAGTTGGCTCATAAATTCATCAGGTGAGAAACACTATGCGTTTTCTTCGCTTGTAGTTCTCTGTCATGAGAACTACTCAGTCCATGTTTGCTATTCTGTTAATTACTGAATACTTCAGGGATGTTTTTTGACTAAGGTGGGCTCTCAGATCTTGGACCAGAGACTGTTTACTTTGTTTTCATCTTTGCCACATTTTAGAGTAACATTTGGCTTTATGTTTTTGGGAGGAGCCAGATCTGGTTATGAGACCAAAAATATTTAGCATTCTCCCTTCTCTGTTGAATAGCCTATTCTTATTACCTTTCACATTTTTCTTGCACACTGCATCATGCAGCAGCAATTGGCACATTTTAGCTGGACTCACGTGTAGGGTGTACAGTGTGTAGGATGAACAATTCATCCCAGTTTGCCCAGAACTTTCCCAGTTTTAGCACTGGAAGTCTCACATCCTAAGGGGAAGCCTCCTTAGTCCTGAGCAAAATGTGATAATTGGTCACTCTAGCTGTGTGTACTATCAGGTAGAATCCTCTGAGCATTTTCAACATCACTTTCCCAGGCAAGGCAATGCAGTTTTGAACATAGTCACTGCAAATATCATGGGAGTCTTGGACTTAGTAGTAAGGAAGTGAGGTCACTTCACCCTGCTGTGTGCAGCCTCCAAGGGATAACACAACAGTAACAGCTTTCATAGAGTGCTTGAAGCAAGTTGTCAAAGTCTTTGGCAAAATTGGTCTGATCATCATAAATTCTAACACAGCTCCACTTCATGCTGATGGCCTCCATAGAGTCTTCCAGTTGATAGGAGTGACCATAAAGTTCCTCTTTGAGTAAGGTTCTTTGTCTCAGAATACAGGTTATCCTCTGAGCCCTGGGTGATGACAGACATGTTCCCCTCAAATTCAGTTATTGACCTCAACACATACCTACCTGCCTAATTGGAGGGAAAGGATTAGGAGGTGGCTTGTCTGTTATGCCAAAAATTGGAAGCTACAGCAGGAAGCATCTAAACCCAGATGATTGGGAAAAACAGATGCTGAGAGGACAGAAGGGAGAAAAAGTACAGGAAAAGGAGAGAAACAAATACATGGGTGGTGTTAGAAAATGTTTGAAAGGATCATAGAAACTAGGAATTAAAAAGAACAAGACTTCCCAGCCTATCCTAGGAGGCATTGTGTAACTCTCTACTTGAATAGCTCTGGTGAAAACTCACTGCCTTTTGAGGCAAAAATCCAATAGTTGGACAATTCCAGTTTTCATAAGTCTTTTTGTCATTAAGCCAAGATGTCCTTTCCTCACTCGCAGCCATTGGTCCTTTGCAGTGATATAAAGCAAGTCTGCCTCCACACCCTTCACAGTATCTGCTCTGTCTCTGATTTGCTCTTCTGGGCTTCTGTTCCCTCTGAAGTGGAGGAGTCTAGTGGAATAGGCTTTGAAGTCAGGCAGATGCAAGTTTGAATCTAAGTTCCATTGTGCAACCATAGCAATTCATCAACCTTGGCTGAACCCTAGTTTATATATGAGGCTTGTAACAGAAAATATATGGAAGCCCACTAGTCCAGCACCTGACTTAGAGTGGGCACACAACATCTTTCTCAGTTCCCTCAGCAATCCCAGACTCTTCACTATCTTAGAATCTTAGAAAATTGTGGGCAGGGGCAAGGAAGGGGATTAAGAGAACCCTTAATCTTAATGAAGAAACTGAGGGCCGGGGAGGTTGACATGGCTTAATCTGGAGAAGGCACCCTTCTCTGGTTGTCTCCGCTAACCCTACTTGGCCATGGAGCCCCTCAAAGTGTGGAGCCAAGATCTTACCATGACCCAAACTCCACGAGGCAGAGGCTGGGCTGTAGTCTCTTGACAGTCACAGCCCGAGTGCCCATAACAGTGCCAGATACGTAGCACATGCTCAGTCAGTATTTTTAAATAAGTGAATGAATGGGCAATTTTCATTTATTTATTCATTTTAATAAAAAGTCGAAGGCAGCTGGGACTGCAGGGGGGAAATTCATTCAATAACAGTGACTGATACCAGTATAAGTACATCATTTCTAATCTCAGTGGGATTTTTGACATTTTGAGTCCTTTTATTTATCTTTATTCTGACCCTCTGTCATTTTTCTAATAATGATTCTTATGCTTTGCTGTTTTCCTCAAGCCTTCAACCTACACCTCACACCCATCACTATCAACAAAGAACCTCACCTCCTACTTCACCAAGAATCCAGAGAGTAGTGGACATGAGTTCAAGTTCCAATCTACTCCTGAAAGATGCACATATGTCCTTCCCACTAGTCTCTGAGATCCAAGTATCCCTCCCATGTAAGGCCAACCTCTCCATTTTTGTCTGATTTTATCCTATTGTCTCTAGTCTCCTCCAGGTCTTTGCTTCTGTCTTGTATTTTTCTCTACCTTCCCCCTGGCTCCTTCCCCACAGTCTACAAACGTTAATCTCTCCTGCCCCTTGTCCCAAAAAAAGCAATGACAGTGAATCTCTTGATCTTGTCTTCCTATAGATGGGACCCTATTTCTCTATTAGTTTCTCACTCACTTGTCTTGAAAGACTGGCCGTCTCCATATCCTTCTCATTCATTCCTTAACCCACTGCTATCTGCCCTCCTCCCCACCCTTCACCTGCTTGCTCACAAGGTCTCACCAAGGGATGACCCTGAGAAAAAATCCAGGAGCCCTTTGCAGCCCTTAGTCCACTGGATGCAGGGGTTTCATTGGATCCAGACTTATCCTTCCTTGAAACCCTTTCCTCCACTGGCTCTGGTTCTGCTTCCATCTCACTGGCCTCAGCCAGCCTTTCCCACACTGGTGTTGGTTTTGTATTTGGCTCACTTCCCTCCTCACTGCTGACACTCTCTCTGAACAACTTTGCCCACATCAGTACACTGAGGACTTCCAAATTATGCCTCTAGCCTAGACTTATATGCCAGTTGCCCTTGGAGACCTTTATTTTCCGTATTTCAAATTTATTATTTCTAGAGCTGAACTTGATAGACGGGAAGCAGTATATAATGTGGCACTTAGGAGCCCAAGCTCTAGAATTAAAACACTTCACTTCAAGCCCCAGGTGTGCCACTCTCCCACTGTGTAACCTTGAGGAAATTGTTTCATCTTTCAGGGCCTCAATTTCCTTTTGTAGAAAATAGGAACGATTAGTTTGATACGAACTATCAGGATTAGTACCAATCTCATAAAATTGTTCAAGTATAATGAGATCATACATGCAAATCGCTATTATCTCACACTTGGTAAGAACTCAGTAAGGTTAGCCATTATTATATTATTTTAATCCTTGTGATTGTTGTTATCATTTAGAACATGGTGTCCTGCTGCCCCAGTGCTGGGGAAGTAGTCACAGGCAGCACGGCGTCATGGACAGAAAACTGAGGTCTGTTTTAGGGACCAATATTCAATTCACCAGGTATTGCCTGAGCTCCTGTCAAACATTAAACACCAAGTCAAGGGCTTCCAAAGGTACATCAGGCACATGGTAATAAATGCAGACTTTATCCGGGAGACGGTAGGAATTGTCGCGAATTTTATAGCAGATAAGTGACAGGTTCTAATTTTTGTTTTAGGAAAATAATTCTGGGAGCAGTGTGAAGAGTGAATTGGAGCAAAGAACCTTCCTAGGCAAGACACCAGCTAGGAAATTGTAGTGGTCAGACGATTGAGGCCAGGATCCTAAGCTAAGATACAGGAAGTGAGGCAGGTTTGAGAAACACTTGGGGAACTGGAACTATAAGGTTCAGAGCCTGATCAGGTATGGGAGGTTATTGCATTGTGAAGAAATAGATTGATGTTATCATGGAAGAACAAGTTGGACACACAGAACGGCATTTCATTGCTGAATCCACTGCAGTCTGATGGTCCATCTTGCAGACTGAGAAACAAGTTCATCCTCAGGTGAGAGTGCTTCTGTCTCCAGAGTGTGACTCTTACATTGAGAACGCTCCTGAGCACTGCCATATAAAAACCATGCCAATTTATTCATTAATAATGAGAAATATAACTATCAAATGGAATAGATATTCTTATGACCAGTCAGCACATTCTCTCCTTATAGGATAATCTCCTTGAGAAGCAAAGGAGAAATTAAAAGTTGATGGTGATCCTTTCAGATCGAAGGGAGTTTGTTTTATGATGTTAATGACTGATGGCATCAAGCTGCAACTCATCGTTAGAGAATACACCAGGCTACTGTGGAAACATTATCAAATTTTGTCTATCAGGATCCCCTTTTATAGACAACATACAGATTTGTCCCCTTGTTGGGACACACTTCAAAACACAGGGCAACAATGAAGTTTATCATTCTTACTCATAATCCGCACTCACTGAGCAATAGTATCAGGTCAGAAGCAGCCTCCAGGAAGACCCAGCGTGTCTTCTCTTTGACCCACACTTCAAGTCCTCTGCTGGCTAATCAATACCCGCAGCACCAGCCTTGGAGGCCCCCTGTGGGTTGTGCGTCTTCAGCTCTGGCAGCCATGATAGAAAGGGAAGGACAGGGAGGGAGCCTGAAGGGAGTGGCATGCACAGTCTTATTGTCTGTCCTAATAGAGCTTCTTTTCCTTTCCAGCCCACAGTTGAGAATGTCCTTTATTGTCTTCTCCACCCGAGGAACAACTTTAATGAAACTGACAGAAGACAGGTAAAGATACTTCTTATCCCTGTTGTTAAAAAGTCCATCACTTCCTGAGAATCCCTAAGATTTGTGATCTGGTGCCAGCCTTGACCTGTTGATCACTTAAATCTAACAGCTCCTTCTTTTACCCTAAATTTTTAATCTTACATATGGGCACATGGGTCCTGCTGCTAGTTTAATCTTCAGTTACTTTTGATAGAATTTCCTGATATTGGTGAAATTTTATAAATGATGAAATTACATTAAGATTAATCTCACATTTGGTTGTTGACTTCATCTGCTAACTTGGAGCGAAATGTTGGCAAACGATATTCTTGGGGGACTATATTTTCTTTGATTTAAATTAGACTTATTTTAGATTAAGGTTTCAGAGATATAAGTACACTGTGAGACAGGTAAGAGCTTGAAATATTTATTATTAATAATTACCCAGGCATGGAGTAGAAAGTGAGGGCTTATGGTACCACAAAATAAAAGGAAATTTAAATCAAGTATAAAAGAATGTTGTTGACACAAAGAAGTAGTTAAACTAGGTAGACCTAGCTTAACAAAAATATTTTAGGTTTTGCCACATTTTACTTGCGTATGAAAACTAGCAATAACAGACTCATGTCATTTATTCGCAGTTAGGATGGTATACTAGAGAGTGGAGAGGATAGTTTACCCCCGTTTATGAAATTGTACACTTTTTAAATAGTGAGATGTCCACATGAGAGAAGCACCATGGGGGACACATGTGGGATTATTGGGAGCCTCACATATGGAAATGTTGGAAAAAGAAAAGGAGGAAGGGCCAGTACAGCGAGGGCAGGAAGACTTTATTCTCTAACATTCTTATAGAAATGAACATAGGACTAACAAGATCGAGTAAAATTTTCTGGCTGAAGTCAGCAAACTTGAGCTAGTCCCTATTTTTTTTTTCCATGGCTTTGTTCCCCATCTGTAACACAAAGAGTACTCTGTACCATGTAGGAATTTTCAGATTCTGTTTCTCCTTCAACCTGATCTACTATATGCATGCATTTCATTTGAGATGCACAAAAACCCCATTCAAAAAACAGGAGTTTCTGATCCCTTATTAACAGAAGGAGAAACTGAGGCCACATCACCTTCCCAAGAATAGCAAACAAAACCCAGACCAGACCCAGGCTCCACATTCTTTCCAGTTTACCTTGCTGCCTTCTGTTCAACAGAGAATCATAAAATCCAAGACACTTGTGTGACTTGCCTTCAATACTGGCCAAGGATTTTAAGAAGCTCAGAGGAGGTGTCTCTAGCCATCTGAAGACTCCTCATCTTGCTCAGTCTTTAGATGATGCCATCCTTTATGCAGAGATGTTTTTTGTTCCGGAATGGGGAGCTAAACACCCCTCTCACCTGTTCTTCACATCCTCCTACAACCCGAGGCTTCCTAGAGCAGCTTCATGCTGGCTTACATGCCCCATGCATAAGAGTCTGGCCGAGAGACCAGGTTCACACATCACTTGCAGGTGCTTTGTGTGCTAATGCTCACAGCTTCTGGGAAGTTGACGGGGGCAGAGGGGTCAGGGATTTATAAACACTATCAGAATGCCAAGTCTTCCAGACCCATTGTGGTTTGTTATGTTGTTGAGATTAGTCATCCTCCGAATCTACTTGGAATCTAATTTTTGTGTACCTTAAAGTCACTACTGCTAGTTTCCTGTTCTGAAGAGAAAACAGACGGTAGAGTCCCCGGTTTGCTGGAAGCAGCATTTCGTATGGGTCAAATGTGCATCAAACAACAGCCAAAAATGCCTTGCTGAAGGCTGTGTGGATTTCATGTGGTGACTGCTTGGCCTAGGTCAGCTGGCAAAGCACAGCGTGGTTTATGGACACACCCCCAACCTCATCAGCCTATCAAAGAAATGTGGGCAAGATCTCTCTGAAACTCTTTCTCAGGAGACTGGCTAAAAGAATCAGGCTTTCAGATCTTCCAAGCTAGTACTGCTTCTGAAATATATGACTTGCAGTGTTTTATTTCGTCACAGGAATTTATATTTTTCTATCTCACCTGATCTTCACAGTATCCCTATAAAACAGAAAAGAGTCCATTAAGATACCTGTATAATACTTGAGGGACGTTATAGAATTAAGAAAAAATGTGTTCAAAAGCAAGACATGAATTGGCAAAGACTTTCATTTCAGCAAAAGGTTTTGGGTAAATCAAAAGAAATAATATCAAAGATATACGGTTGATCCTTGAACAACATTTTGAGCTGAATGGGTCCAGTTATACACGGGTATTCTTCAACCAGATGCAGATCAAAAATACGGTATTCACGGGATGCAAAATCCACATATGTGGAGGGCTGACTTCTAGTATATGCAGGTTCTGCAGGGCTGTCTGCAAGACTTGAGTGCATGGATTTGGTATACTCAGGGATCATGAACCAATCCTCTGCCTATACCGAGGAATGACTGTATTTGCATTCAGTTCTTGGGATCAAATAGACATAGGTTAAAGCTATGAGAAGATGAAAAAATAGAATAGAAAATAAATATAATGTGTTAAGATATAGTAAAGAAACTCCAATTAGAATAATAATGCCTACGATTTGTGTCTTTTTATCTGCAAAGCACTTTATATATCATTTTTTATTTATCCTCATATAACCATTGTTACTCTATTTTCTAATGGGAAGGACTCTGCAGTCATTTGAATCATTGTTACATGTGGAATGTGTCGTTTTTCTCTGTTTTCAGAGTTTCTTCTTTTTTAGTTCTTAGCAGTTTGATTATTTGTGTGGGTATGGCTTTCTTTCAGGGTGCCCTATTTTGGCTTCTTGAATCTATAAACTTGCCTGTCACCATATCTGGGGAGTTTGCAGCTACTTGAGTAGGGGCGGGGGAAATTCTGGACCTCATGGCAGTGTGGTTAATTTCTCCAGGTTTAAATTTTCCTCCCCAGTTCACCAGTTTTGTTTACTTTCCAGTCTATTTGGTTGCTTTTTCTGTTGTAATCAGCAGGTAATATAGGCAGTAGCAAGTATACTCTTATCTTGGCTGCTGTTACTTCAGTTTTACAGATAAGGACACTGAGGCTCAAAAAGTTGAGGTAACCTGCCGAGGTCAAATAGCTAGTAATCTGCTGAACTAGTATTCTGATTCTGGATTCTAAATTTGGTCCAACTCCTGTACTTTGTATTGTATCATGTTGCTCTTCCGAGATTTCCTGGCTTCATCAGTTTAAATAGTTGATAGATTATAACAAAGTTTGCAGGTCACGTCGTTAGTATAATAGAGTGTACAATGTCAATTTAAGTACTATTAGAATAAAATGATGTTAACTACTGCTTATGAGTCCCTGAAAACTCCAAGGAGAGTCTTGTTCTTACATTAATTGAAATACTTCAAATGTATCATCATTTGGAAATAAGACCGTATCAAGGAAGTTCAACTATTCATTTAAAAAAACAGATGCTCAATTTAATCAAATGCAATTTTGCCTTCCGTTAAGATGGTGATATTTTTCTTTTACCTACTAGTACAGCGAATGTCATAAAAAACATTTTTAAATATTGGATTATTCTAGTATTTCTGTATACATTTGGTTATGATGCATTCTTTTAATGTATATCTGAATTCTGGTTTTTAAATATTATTTAGAAATGTAGCACCCCTGTTTATAATTGTAATTGGGCTGCCATTGTTCTTTTTATTACTACCTTTCCTTGTAGTATTTTTTATTCTTTTTTATTTAAATTAGTACTTCTGGAATTTATTATGATGTAAGGTACAAGGTCAATGTCCAGTGTTTCTTTCCCCGATTGATTAGCCAGTTCTTCCCACACCATTGTGTAATAATCTTTTACCAACAACTTGAAGAGTTAAACTCTTAGCTAGGCTTGGGTTTATTACTGGGCTTTCTATTCTGTTCTGTTTTCCTATCTGTTACTATACTTGGATCACATTGTTTTAATTAGTTTTAACATCTGGAGGACCAATGTATCCTCATTTATAATCTTGGGTGAAAATCTCCTTGGTCTTTACTGGATTTTTCCAACCACATACATTTAAAATAATTTTTTATGTTCCCAGATATCCCTGGGATTTTTACTTGAACTCTGTGAAAAATACAGATTAACTCAGCAGCAATGGCACTGCATTTTATTTCTATACTTATTTTCTTATTTAGGGATATACCACGTCTCATTTATGTCCCTCAGTATGGTGGTGTTTTTTTCCTTCAAATTAGTCTAATTGTCAACATTTTTTCCCCAGGCATCTTAAGTCTTGCCTCCACTGTGAAAGAAATGCTTTGCTGTTGTATTCTCCAAACTGCCATTCTTCACTCTTGACTGGTGAACCTATAGTTAGTGATCCATGGGCTTCTATCAAACTCCATAAAATGATGTACAAAAATGTGCATGTCAGTGGGTTTTCTGTAGGAGAGAACATGCATGCAGCCCCCATCCTCATCCCCTGCCAAAAAAAAAGCTTCAGAAATACTAGTTTTGGGGAAAACAATAGGTTTCCAACAGGTTTTTGGTAGATTGATTTCTTTTATTTCTATTTTTATTTTTATTTTTTTAAGAGGGAGTCTTGCTCTGTCACCCAGGTTGGGGTGCAGTGGCGCAATCTCTGCTCACTGCAACCCCCACCTCCCGAGTTCAAGCGATTCTCCTGCCTCAGCCTCCCTAGTAGCTGGGATTACAGGTGCACGTCGCCACACCAGGCTAATTTTTGCATTTTAGTGGAGATGGGGTTTCACCATGTTGGTCAGGCTGGTCTCGAACTCCTGACCTCAATCCACCCACCTCGGCCTTCCAAAGTGCTGGGATTACAGGTGTGAACCACCACGCCCACCCTCTTATACCACCACTTTAATGAAACATTTTATTAGTTCTAATAGTTTTCTAATTAATTTTTAAGTGGTTTTCCAATAAGGTGATTGTAGTATCTGTGATTAATTCTGTCCTTTTTTCTAATATTTATAGCTAGTATATCTTCCTGTGTATCTTCTTACATTCTAAAATTTTTAGACT